GATTTATTTGTGAAACACGCCGTTACAGGTACCAAGGGCTGATAACACTTTCAGTCTCCGTTGTTTTGAGCAGCTGTTACCTGCTGCAGTAGCATTTCTCTCTCTCTCACTTGCGTTGTCCCCGGCAGTGCTCATGATCCACGGGAAAGTGCCATTGCCCTGCTCCTCTCTGCCTGCTGTTTGCAGCACACTATTTGCACAACATTGTTTGCCTCTTGGACAAGGAAATCTGGGCAGTGATGCAGGTAAACAGTCTTCAGTCTCAGTTGAGAGAGACTGCTGGGAGGCTGTTGTCAGTGATACAGCACCAGCTCTGATTTTTTTTACTTGTTCCCCATTAGACAGAGTGAGTTGAGGGTTGTGTCTGTGTTGGTGTGGGGTAGACACGTTCCAGTTCCAGGTCTGGGATTTGTTTTCTGTTCTGAAGGATGCCAGCCAGCCAATGCTGCCCCTCCAAATGGCACAGGAAAACTATCTGTAGTGACTGTACTCTGCCACCTTTCCCAGCTGTATCAGACAACAAGGACTTTTTGTCTCTGCTTTTACTTTTGATCACTAATGCATTTGATTTTATTTGTGCATATTGTGTTCTTGTAAACTACTGCTAAGGTTTTGGGGGTGATGCTATTTGTCAGGCAGGTACTCTGGGAAGATGGCAAGTTCCACAATTCCCTGGCCATCCTCAGAAATGTTGTTGCCAATAAATAATAAGCCCCCTGCCAAATTTGCTGCTTTCAGGAGCTGGAGGCCTTCAGGGATAACTGTGTAGAAGAGGTTTTGGCTGCACGCAAGACTTGTGTTTCTTTGACAAGGAAATGGGCCAAAAGAGGATCTGTGGAATAATTTGTTTTCTTTCACATGACCACAGCACGATTAGGAGACATTCCTGATTGCAAGACTGCTTATATTTCTGTGGCTTTTTATGGAGTGTCAAGACTCTATTCTTAAGTGTTGGTTGAGAGTTTTCAAAGGTAGCGCTGAAATTCTGGCACCTAATTTTAAGCAAGACTTCTACCTTCTGGCCACAGAGCACATTAAGACACTTTTTCTCCAAGGGAAGATTAAGTCCAAGTGACCTTCAGGCACATGCACAGAACTTAAGATTTCCTTGAGATTTCCCAGCTCAGCATATGAAGATGCTTGAAACTAATGAGGACACAAGTAGCCCCGAGGGGCGTTAACTTTGTGCTCTGGTTGCAGCTACACATTTTAAATAATGCCTTTGTCTAGATACTCTTCTCATCATCAAATAGCCTGTGAAAGGGGTGAATAGCTACTGTACAATTCTGTATGTGGACTGTAAAATCCATCTTCTTAGATGGTAAGAAAGTGCGGATGGGCTCTCAGTCCTTCACTTCTTCCTTTTGTTTCACCAGTGAATGCTGCATACAGAGTAAGTGGCTGAGTCTGAAGCCTGTCTCCCTCATGCTATGACACCTAATTCAACTCCTCAGTCCTTTATTACTAGCCACATTTGCTCTACCATTTAATCCGTTTTCCCACGTTGTTATCCACTCTGCCCCACTGGCAACCAAAGGGACTTGACAGACCGATTGCTTTTCAGACAACTTGGAATAAAAAAGTCTTTTATCCATAGTCCTGCTGCTTGCAAACAAATGCACAATGGACACAATGAGACTGTTTGACATGTCAGAGGTCTATTTCTTTTCTTGGAAAAACATCTAATGTTCCCCTGTTTAAACCAAAAGAGAACATACATTATCTGTGTCCTGCTTTCTGTTTCTTAAACAAAAACCAGCTGGTGCTAGTGCTTGCCTTTAGGAAGACACCATCAGGAAGTTGAAATATCAAATCTTGGCTCTACTTAGTTGCCACGGTGATGTATAATTAACCAGGCTGCAGTAATGTTACAGAAAATAAACATGACGAAATACTCTTGCTAATGGAAAAATTTAAACCACAGTTTTAAGTAAGACTGACGGGGCTGAAGATTACGTTTTAATTGCTCATTTGCAATTGGACATGTATGTTTGCATTTATATTGTAATTTCATCAAAATAGTATCATTGTGTGGTCAGAAAGAAATCTAAATTAGTGTGAAAGAAATAAAACAGGATTCTGAGACACATTATTGATGGTGCAGTCTTTGTAAGAGACTGGCATTTCATTGATTTGTGGGGATTTGGAGTGGGTTTTTTGCTCTTTGTTGCTAATAGGATTCTCTTTGAAAAACAAGACATTTCCCCACAATTTATCCAATAAGAAACTGATAGAGAGTAAAAGGTTTGATCTGGAAGAAATGGGAAATCGGATAAAGGCAAACCATTCAAAGTTCACCTCTTGCAGCTGATATGCAAGCACCTTTTCCAAGTGCCTATGACACTGATGCAGAGTAATTTATTTGTCTAAATACCTTTCTTTAAGTGGTAATTGTTAAACTATCCTGATGTATTTTAAACTGAGAAAGTCAAATGTACCTTTGGAAGGCCACACATGCCAGAAGAAGCTGATGTGCAGTTCCCCAGATCCATGCAGGAGGAAGTTTCACTCTGTGAGGTTTACGAGAGAGGTGAGTTTAGGCATGGGGTGCTGTTACAGAATTAAAACCGTGGAACATTGTCTGTGAGATACTTGTGTGGTGAAATGTGGGTCAGGAGCAGTAGAATAAGGATTATGTACTTTTGGGAATCCTATTCCTTGTAGTATCTCTCTAAGACACGGTTTACGTGCAGATATACAACGTAGGGGCTGCTCAGTAAAACATAGCTGGGGTAGAACCATGCATCTGTTGACCCTGATGAGAAGAGGATTAATCCTTTAAGAACTTTTGTTCCTTCTCTGCATTTGGCCATCTTGTTCTTCAGAACTTTGGTTTAGACTCTGAAGGATGTTACTAAAATCAAGACACCGTATGTACTTAGTGATAGGCCCTGAGAAGCTTTTCTGTACTTTATCTTGTCTTGATAAGATTAGCGTAATACTTTCTCTTCCAGAAAGCTAAGAGGAATAAGTGACCTTCAGCTTATTTAAAACTCTGCTATAAGTACTGTCAGAGCATATGTTACTGGTTAGAGCAGCAGTTCACCTGCTACATCTCTTAATAAAAATAATTTCATCGCATATTGTCATCTAAGGGCTGTTATTCTTCACCTTCAAACTTCTTTGGTTCTCCTGTCGAATTTTAACATCGTAATGCTTGTATGTGCTCCCCGTGCATTATTCCCACTGAGTTGAGCAGAAGACAGTGAAGGTTGCTCCCTTTGGCGCTGCAAAGTGCTGAGCACTCTTGGCTGGGAGCGGAGGGTATGCAAGGAGCACGTCTCATGGTCAAAGCACGTTTGTTGCACTCTATGCTGAGTGGAAAGATACTCTGAAGAAGGAGCCTGGACGTGTTCCTACCCCTTCTGCTGTAACCTAGGACATTATCCTTCTACTTTCTGAATGACTTGCGTTCGCTCAGGCTTGCATCTTGTGGTGAAATTAGCATTGGGTGAAAAGGTATTTCTTTCTGTCATTTTGTAATTTCTTCTTTTTCAGTTTGATTCAGGGAACTGTTAGTTTGTGTGGCATGTTTTATGTGTGCATAGAAATACCAGTTCATTTCCAGTAAAATGCCCAGCTAGCTCCCACACATCACGTCCTCTTTTCTTACTGAGCAGGAGGCAGATTCCTGAGGGCCCCCTCACCTTTGAGCGTTGTGTAGAAATAGCAGCTCCTGAAGTTACAGTCACTGTCACATTATTGGTAGGGGGATGGGAAGGTTTGGCACTTTGATTCAGAACACAAGAAAAAAAAATACATCTCAGACCGAGTGGGTTTGCCTATATTTGCAAGAAGAGTGCAATATTTCACCTGAGGCAAGATCTAATATTACGCTTTCCCCCATTTGGCAAGGCCCCACTGAAAAGGAGCCACTTCAGCAAAGCACCAGTGTTCATTTTGGTTCTTAACATCTCATATGAAGCATTTGATTGTAGAACAAAAGCAATCCATCCTTTTGGATTTAGTTTTTGGTGTTTATTTGGCAGATCTGACCTCACAAGGGGGCCCAACACCCTGAGCAGCCACCCTTGCTGCTGCATGACTGAGGGGTAACACTGGCGTGAGCTGTGGAAGCAGCTTCTTGCCTCCATCTTCTCCCCGGGAAATGCATTGCTTGTTGCCAAGTGCAAACGTTGGTCTGTTTTGACGCGTTTAGATTGCTTCCAGGCAGAAAATTGTTGCCGATGCAAAGTACAGTTTTTGAAAATCTGGTAATATTCAGGTAAAATTGGCATTCTTATGGTTGCTAAGGGGCTGTATCGAAATCCTATTCCACCTCGACTGCAGAATTGCTAGCGTTAGATAGCTTACGCGTTCTGTATCCTGTGTATTACAAAGATTTGCTTGAAGCTCAGGACTTAACAAGCACAACACAGTAGGACTGTTGTACAAAGCTTGAAGAGTTAGTCCTTGGCCTTTGGCCAGGAATAAAGAATGCTTGCCCTTGTGCCATTTTGTCCTGTGCTGCTCCAGTTCTGGCAGCGGTTCTGCTTCAGTGTAATTGTTGGCACCGAAGCCCGGCTGAACCCTGACCGGCCTCTTCCTGCAAGCAGGCAGGGGCGCGGAGGTCCGAGACAGCGTCAAAACTCTGTATTGATCAACTGTAATAGAGGACTCTATTATGAGAACTCTTCATATCAGAGCTAAGCACATTGACTGCAGCGATGCAGTAGTAAAGTACTAAAAAAAGCCGTAAAGAGTGTGAAGTAGTTTTCAGTTTTTCCATGGGATAATTGAGAGGGCTAAAAGAATAAAAGAACACGCAGCTCCTTCTGGACAGTCACTGTTTTGGCTATCTATCTGCAGTTGTTGTTGATCTCTCCTTCCTCTCTGTGCTATGTAGCAGTTGGGTGTTTCGTTCTTGCCTGGACCAGACACAGAGCATAGTCACAGCTTTAAGTGATAAAGTGTTTTTATTGTTTGCAAAGGCTTGCTTACTCTTCTTTATTCTGCTTACTGATCTTTAAAAAAAACACTTTCCCATTTCATTGAGGCAGATTTGGAAGTCAAACCAGAAACTTCAGACTCTACTACGATGGAAAGCACTTTGTTGGGGAGAAACGTTTTGAGTCCATCCATGACCTGGTGACAGATGGATTGATTACTCTTTATATTGAAACGAAGGCAGCTGAATACATTGCCAAGATGACAATAAATCCAATTTATGAACACATAGGATATACAACTTTAAACAGAGAGCCAGCACACAAAAAACACATGCCAACCCTGAGAGATGAACATGATGGCAAAGAGTCTACAGGAGAGGATGAGGTAGCAGAAAAGAGGGTAAGCAATTGTTAACCCACACTCTTTTTTCTGTTAGACTTTTTATTTTGTACTTTTAACCCTCCCCTTCTACTACAGAGTGCTAAAGGTATCTGTAGATATTTAGTCTACGTATTTATTTCCAGCATTACATTAATAGTAATATTTAAACTGATTATAGGTTTTTTTACTGGTAATTTTTGCATATTGCAAATTTCTTTGATTTGGAGGTTAGTTATTTATCATTGTGAGGTTCCTTTCTTCGGGTATTTTCACAGTTATAGATGTTTCCATTAAGCCATTTCTTTATTTCAAACAGGCTAAGAATATTTAATCTTACAATTGTTTACAGTGTCTAAGACAACTGCCCTTTGGTCAAAAATTACGTTTCTTAATATATTCGGCCTTCCCCAAACAAATGCATTCCATAATCTATTCAGCAGGTTGCATACAATGACAGTAAAGTTGTCCACATTATAAATAAGCCTGTTCATTAAGATGATAAAATGTTAAAACATTTCACTTGGCTAAGTTCAGCCTGTCAGAAGCTGGCAGAGCTATTTTTGGCCTCAGCCAGACTTATGAAGAAGGATGGCTCTCTTCAGAGAGTTGCAGTATCAGCTGAGAACTGACTGTGTCCTGGATTATAAAAGAAAAACGAACAGCAAAGAAATCTTGGAACTGGTGAAAACAGAAATATTACAGGAGGTTGGGAATGTATCAGGCAGACAAAGTAGCTGCCTAAAACTTCATTTGTGTGACAGAGACTAAACTTAAAAAGAAAACATAATGTAAATTCCGTCATGTTAAACTAAATGCTTTGTTTATGGAAAAGCTGGCGTATGAATGTCTTTTTAAAGTTTATTTCTGCATATGTGTAGGTGTTAATGCATGTATAGTAGTCTGATATGCTCCCCTATTTCACAGACTTCAGAGTGACATTAGGAGTATCTGATATGCTTATAGTGCTTAGAAGAAATGCTAACCTTAGCTGGGATCAGCTGTTTGTTTTTCCAGTCAGAAATAAGTCTGTGATTTCAGTTTTTATGGAGGTGGAGGAGAGGTCTCACTGACAGTTTCTAACATACGTGACTATTACAGTGAAGCTAAGCTCTGTGCAGAGTCCACAGAGAGAGGAGGCTCATAGCTTTGGTCCTTCAAATCCTTCTCCAGCAGAGTCTGTCATCCTACACTGAATTTGCTGAGAGATGAAGCACCCAACTTAGCTTAAAGTATGAACCTTCACTGTTATCACTTTGACAAAAGAAATACTGGTGGGGATATTGATGCTAGCTGGCCCCGTTAAATATCCAATTTCTTGCCTGTTAGGTACCAGTAGTGGAGGGGTGAGTTATCAGTTACAGTTCCTGACAGCCTTTGACTTGCAGCATGCTGTTTCAAAAGGATTTTTTTGCATGTTATTATAGAGAGTTCATTATAATGCAAAGCCTGAGTAAAAATCTGTAAGAGTTCTGGAAGTCACCACTTTGGATTTCTTTGGTAGAGTTAACTCTTGCTGCATTTAGCAACTTTCAGGTGACAACAGAACTCTGTTCTGTCACATTTTTTAGACTGATGAAAAGGTTTTCATAGTGAAGGGATTTCAGTGATTATTATTGAAGAATGCTGGTTTTTCCATAGATTACATGGTGCTATGTCAGACTCATCAACCAAGTATGCCCATTGTTTTGAAACATTTTCCATCTGTGAGAAATATTTAATAGTTATTGAGCTATTTAATGAAAATCTGAGGTGAAAAACCTTTAGAGAGGTTAGTCATCCCACCCTGTTTGTCTGGAAGTTATAAGCAACTCGGGTGGCTTCATCTGCAACATAGCTGAACAGCAGTGGTGTTCGCTGGCCTGAAGCCCAGCTTTTGTGCCTTTTTTCTTTATTTGCCTTGGAACTGTATTGAAGTGGACACAATGAGGCACACAGACATCCCAGTACAGTTAAACGCGGAGATTTCAGTTTAACTTTCAAGTCATTATCCAGCTGGGATTACTACCCGTGGCTGCGCGGGGAAGGCACGGTGCGATCCCTGTTAGTGTGGAGTGGTGCAGAGGTGACATCTTTGCTGCTCTTGCATCTCTCGGGGCCTTTGCTGGGCGATGACACAGAGTCCCAAGTGCCCTTCACCCAGCAAATCGCCAAGGGGAAGAAGGCAGTCGGTCTCATGACCAGCACCCGATCCCAGCAGCAACCTCAGCATTTGGAGCAAGCTCCAGCATCCAGCTCAGACTTGCCAAATCCTTTCTCCCTCCTCTGAGTCCCAGGGCACGGGGAGCACGGGGAGGGGGACAGACGTGGAGGTGGCCGCGCCGCATGTCTCATGGCGGGTGGTGGCTGTGTGCTTCGTAGGAGCGATGGGGAGAGGAGACCTCGGAGGGCTTTCGCAAGTGCCTGCCGTCACTGTCTGCTTGCACACCCAGTGAAGCTGTCACCTTGACAGCCTGGGAGAACTGTTCCAGGTTCAGTGGGGTCGGTGTTAACTGACTGGCTAGAGGGCTGTACAGGCAGGTGACTGAATCACATCTGGTGGTTAACTTTGTAAAAAAAAAATTGAAATAATGGGATATATACCTGTTTGACAAATACTTTGCATTTAAAGCATGAGTACTGGATGACAGGAAATATTTCTCTGGCTTTTTTAAAAGCCTACATACTATAAAAAGTTAACAAGCTAGGAACACAGGAGAGATTACATCTCCACTTAAATGGAAGACTCAGTCTCTCTGCTAGTTTATGAGCTTTATTTGATAAAATAGTAATAATGAAATAAGAAAAATATACATATCCTCTATAAATTTCTCAGAAGGTCATTTTACCCATTTTGTGCAGGCTCCTGCTTCTTCCTGATATTTACTTGAAAACTTCAATTAATAATAATGTGGTATTTACCTTATTGCAAATCATTTAACCATGATATAAGGAAGACTTCTTATAGGACATTTATAAATAGGTCAAGTAATTTTTATTTCTCTTTTGTGGGAGGGATGGCAGAGTGATTCCACACACAGGCTCTTGACTGGCGAGCAGCTGGTGGGAATGTAGTTTCACATTCTGACATAAAATCGAGTGGAGGAAATTGGGCAGCCAGAGAGCACACCTCAAACTCGAGAATGAAATATTAAAGAGCACTTCACCTAGCCTTGCATTTGGTGTGGGGCAGTAGCAGGGGACACCGTAGATTTGTGTTAGATGCCTCCCAACATGCACTACTACTTTATTTGTTCCCCACTCTGCTCAGCAATTAATTTATAGTAGAAGAATTCAGCATGTGTTGGGTCACTTGTCATATGCAATACGTTAAAAATGAGCCTTAGTAAAGGGGAAGGATTTAAAGACTGTAAAAGATGAAAGGACAAAAATTATGCAGTTGTTAGGTGAGGACTGTAGGACACAAATAGCAATACTCCTAAGTCCTGCAAGAGACCATATTGCGATGTGATTTAAGATGCAGTTTTTAATAGGAAAAGCATGAGAATATAATCCACTGCACAGCATGTGCTTTGCTGATTATGAGAAGGAATATGACTGCTTACCATATACAAGTATATATTCAAAATTAAAATTCCTTGTTAATGATTTATGGTTTTCATAACCTGTGAAAGAGTTAATAGTCAGAGATAACTGGAGGAGTGACGACTGAAAACAGCAGAGTGCTTGTTGTGCTCGAATGCTCTGAATAGGTGTCTTAGCTGCTGTGCTAAAAAGGTAATGCTGGTTCCCAAAACAGTCTGCAGATTGTTCAGAACTCAATTGTACAGCCATCGTGGTCTGTGTGTTAAGAGAGGGCTAAGATTCATTTGAAAGAGGGCTTCCCATGTGGATTCAGTCTGTACAGCCTAGTGTGGAAATGAAAATAATACCCAGTATCACAAGATTTACTATTCCTCCCGTGCCTTGAATACTGATGCATCTCTGAACATGCTCCACTCTCAAAGGTAATTATGGCCTTGGAGCAGATGACTCCATTCAGTTAAATACCTTATAGAAATGATAACTCTCAGAAATTAATAAATACCTATATACATATATCAAACTCCTTCTTGAAAGCCCTGCAAAACATGATTTTTTTTTCATTTTGACGTGCTTTTGAGATATTAATATAAGAAGTTGTATGAGTGATTTATTCAAGATTTAATATTTGTTATGAGAAAATGAAATCATTAGTTATGAGTTATCTAGTCTTTCAGAATGAAATGCTGAGGTTTATGTTAGGATAGCAACTGGATCACATTTACTCATGTTTACTTTGCTGATAAGTGCTATTTACTCAAGAAACCTCAGCGGCTGCAAATGAATTAAAGACACCTTCTAGACTGTACTACATTCAGTTCGATTCCTATAGATGGAAAGAATGGAGAGGAGGTTTGTGGCAGTGGTCATCCAACAAAAGAACTCTGTTGTTCTATTTTTCATGACCTTAGTGGTGATACCTTTTTTTTCTCCATAGTGAAGAAGACTGATTGCAACCCTGTGCAAGGAGATCTGTAAATGTGTGTTGTTTTAGTAGGAAACATGCTTTTAAGCCTGCCTCCAAAGATAATCCAGATCACAAAGTTAATTGCAATCTCTGTGTACATTTCTAATGGATTCATAACAGCCTCCACACACAAAATCAAGGGTCATACTTATGGGTGTTTGCAGAGGGACCAGTCTCGCTTTCCAACCTTGAACTGACACCGATATTTTCGTTAATGACACTGCTACTTTTCTACTTTTGCTCTCAGTCAGATCTGTTAGGAAGATCTGCTTAAAACCTTCCTTCACCAAGGCTTATTTTATCTTCAGTGAAAGGACATCAGAAACTGCAGCTGAGGAAGTTACAGTAGGCTGTCATACAAGCATAAGCGCCCTTAGCAAGGTCTGTGATGGAGGAAGACAGCTTCAAACAACACTGTCTGGTGCCCAGTAATGCCAGTGCTGGAACTGATAGGAACTAAAAAAGATGACGTGGTCTTAATAATCAGGGAGGAAAATGTGTTTTGAGAGTGAAGCAATCTTGACGCTGGAAG